CTGTATCTTCTGGTTTCCGATTGCAACTAATCGTGATTACCTAGCCACTAGCTAGTCTCCGAATTAAGTTTGACGCCACAAGCTAATACCTCTTGGATTTCTTACTGGAACAGTGCGTTTAATCCTCATGTACATAGCAGCATTTTACCCATTGTGCCATGCCTTCTGTGGTATAAGTAAAAATCATTTCCAGCGTAACATCAGTTGCACATAAATACATAAATGAAGGCTTTAGTCTCGTGCAATGCAAGGCACGCCTATGCAGGCATGAGCATGTTAACGTTACAACTAAATGTCGGGAAATGTATAAAACATGGTGCGAGTTAGCCAAGAAAAATGAAGCTGAGAGTTTATGCATGTATGTAGAAGTGCAGGTGCCGATCAGTTATTCCAGTTTGCTTATGTGCCACTACAATCGTGATTGATCGCGTGGATAGTATGAGAAGGGTTGAGCGACGTCCGTGGTGATTAAGTGGTTAGTTGATTAGGTACTCATGGGGCCGTGACATTAGTGAGAAGCGAGTCACATCCGCCCCGTCACAGTACTGTTAAACAGACTAAGTGGCTTATTATAGGGAGCAGGATTTCTAGGCGAAAACCTACCACTTCCTGGAGCATTGTCGCTAAACATTTGCTGGAACAGGGTAGGCCCGAAACACCCAGTTGGTGTCACGGGGAAGTCATGTTTTCGCACATCAGTTTATCTTAAGTAAATGTCTTGAGGTAGGATTGTCCCGCTGCTTGGTATTATGACTGTCCTTGCTGGCCGTCTCTCGGTCAGTTCTCCCTTTCCTTTTACTCTGAGGTAGTGAACTTCCTAGCAAACCGAAATTAAACTGAGGAACCTCCTCCTTCTGAAATGGGACGAAAGAACCAACAAGGACTTACCTGGAACCTGGCTTTACTACAAAACCAACCACCTGTAGCGGACGCCTCAACCACCGATGTCCATTGAGGATAGCTGGAAACAAATCCTTCACGCTGCCTAATAAATAAATAAATAAATATTTTATTCTCGACTATGCGAGGCATGCCCATGGAGAGATGATCAGGTGAAATCCCATAGACCGGAAATTCTATACTTGCACAATCATTTCCTACTGGACTGTCCTTAACGTTTAGGTTAGGCACTGGCTGTGCCATTGGTTTAGCTAACAGTGGGGCCATACGATTGCGAATACCTGAGTGAACAAATGGCCCATAAGGAGCTTTGCTAGTTGTACATGCCCGTTCAAAGCACTCGACGACAGTGTTCTAGAAGTGGCGGGTTTTCGTCTGCTAAGCGTTCTCTCTATAAAATCCACAAATATCCCTTTACCAACACTGTGACGTGGCGTATGTGACTCGCCACCGATTTTATTCACCGCCCACTGTTACACACTGGAATATCGACTAGACAATTTTCAATATTTCACCGACACGTACAACAAACACGCTATCAGTTTTCACATATTGGCCTTACACCGCTTACAGTGTTTTTCTATTTACTCTACACACAAATGAAACCATTTTATCGGCATTCCATTGATGACCTTGTTCCTAATGAGTGCTGCGACTGCTTCTGCAAATTGTACAAATTTTGGCCACAGCTAATTGCGTACGTCGTAACGTATCTGTTGCGCAACTTGATTGCTCGTAAATTTTGCTTATGCTTGAATTAGTGTGCTTCGATGCATCCGAGAATGAAATCTTTATTTATTTATTTAGACACTTTTCAGATGACAAAGCGAAGGCGTAACTGCAGGAGCTTCTGTTGCTTGAACTATGTTAGCGTCCGTCCGGTGCTGCCATTTGCTCCATGAAGGAGGTCGAAAACCGCAAATTGTGGACACAACTTAGGTTGTCTTTATTTCTAGCAACACTTGCATTTCCTAAGATGCGAGCAATAAAGAAAGCTTGCCCTGATGCCATCCAACGCGTGGCCAGCGAGTAAGTACGTACGCTACCAAGGTCGTTGTTGAAATATGTTCCGCACGGAAGAACGGAAATGGCAAACTTGGACATACATGGAGTTTAAGGCAAGAAGCGTTCCGCAGCATAATACCATGGTTCTCATTTTTGCTTTCAACCAGCAGTTGTTGCGAAGGAGTTGCCGAAACCGCCGATTGCCCTAATAAAGCGGTTTGGACTGTTGTGAAGTACCTTCTAACTCTGTTGCCGTCGGCCTCGGCCATCTGACGAATGCTTTCGATTGCATAGGTGTAGGCATGCATGCTATGAAGTTGGGTTTAGGCCAAATGGATCGCCGTATGGCGAGTGACAAGACATCTTCCGGCAGTACGGTGCCTCTGCCAATGGACTCAGTCGAGTAGCTCCTCACGCTGAACATGCGGCTGGAAAGGCGCGAGGGCTTGGAGAATTTGGTAAAATCCAACTGCATATATCGCTTTACAGTCGGCTTATTCCGGGCATTTTGGAGGAATGTCCCAGACGGAATTGGTCAAGGTCGTACTGCAATCCGTAATGACCAGCGCGCCTGTAAGGAAAGTGAACTGGCGGCGTTCATGCAAAGCACCGAATTTCAAGCAGGCCCTTGGCTGGTGCTAGTACCGGTAAGCCGTGCAGTTGCCTAAAACAACATGCGTTTACGACGCTGTGATGCGCAAAGGCGTAACAGATACACTGAAATTACGAGCGCCGGTGAGCTACGCGGTTGACTATGGCGAATAAACTAGCAAGGGTTACAAACCGAAATAACACGTCAAAACCGGCCAACGTGAAAAACGGGTTATAGTGGTTTTTGCTACCTTTTACATAGCATTTTGTCATTATTTTAGGGAAAGTGAAGAGATAAGATTGTCTAGTTGTATATTGACGTAAACCTGCTGCTAGCGTGCGTGAAACTTCGGTACACCGAATGCAGATAAAGCGCCATTTGGGTCAAAGGGACAAAATTTAGCCCTCACGGACACGTTGGTGCTATCAGTGGCGGGCCTTTAATGCATGTTTAATGTTTAAGGGGTTGCATTGCGATAGCGGCGTATGTGGTTCCTTAACTGGGTAGTTTAAACCTGGTAATAATTTATTGCACAAGTGAATGTGTACGTGCGCACCCCTGTATTAGCCATGCATCTGCGTTAAAAGCGATGGAAATTAGTTAGCCATGTGTTGTGGATGGTGGCAGCCCTTTGGGACGAGATGCAAGCGCACAAACAGAAGCAGATATTTCTGTAAATGCGAGTAATTTAAAGCACTGGATGGTGCATTCATAAGTAAACCTACAGTGGTAGTAGAAATGTGGTACTAGTAATGGAAAATGGTTAGCCGCGGATGCGCATGCCGCTTCAAATTTTTACTGAGCGCCCGCATTTAATCGCTAATGAAACTAAATATATAGGCGCTCAAAAATGTACTCCACATTTCCATAGTGTGGAACAGTGTATGGAGTGGAAGATGTCGGTGGTTCATAACCATTCACTGGTCGAAGATTTGTGTTAAAAGTAACAGAAAATAGTTATATTTAATTGAGTGAAGCAGGTTTCACTTGGGACCAAATTCCAACGCACGCCAATACCAGATATCTGTGCCGTTCTGAACTTTTCGTACGCCCACCGGGAGTTGGCTCCAGTAGGAAATGCAACATGATGCACAGCTTTAAAATATTAAAATTGTGCAACACTTGGGACTCTGCAAGAAGGCTTCTCTACATTCCAACACCATTCTTGCATCCTAATCTAGGTTAGGATAGAACACCAATGCATCCGTTTGCGCAGCATTGTTTACCAGGTTTGTGTTATAGTTTATGTTCCTTTCTTATTCGTAGAACATTAAAAATTACCAGATTGCTTACGTGGCTTTCATTAATTATGTAAGTTCATACTGAATAAGCACTTAATGTCACGCACCTGTGGGGTTTACATAGGTTCACAGGAGCTTCAATTGCAACTTAAGGCATAAAATTGCTCGTACCCTCAGCCGTCAAGCGGGTATACGTGGTAGTACAATCTTTAGTTTGAATGCCCGCCGTCCGCTGGTCTACCAAGCGCATTCCAAAGATCGCGAGGTATACGAATTCACCGCTTCCCCAACACGATGCGCGATAGCCAACTAAGCTAGGTCAGTTTATCGCCATTTCGAACAATGCGCAGATAGGAGCAAGCAATGCATATGGAATACCACTTCCATGGAATTCTTTTGAAGCAGCATTACAAAAAATGATTTTCATTTGTTTTCACGAGGCGGCCTACATTTTGGCTGCTGTATCCTAACGAACCGTCTTATAAGAGCCACATTTCCTCCATCAATTAACCACTATTGCAACGTTATTTACATATTCGGCAAGGTTTGTGCACCAACAAGACGCACCAAACATCCCTACAAAATAGCATTGTCTTTAAAGTGCTTTGCCTTGACTACTTGCCTAGGTTGCTTCACCAGTTTGCCAATCATCGATGTTTGTTTTAATCTATCACGATTGAACATTTTCTGACACCACGGAGAACACTGGAGGCGGAAACCTAAAGGGATGCCATATGGCTTATGGAACACTTGAACGTACAATGGCGGGTTTAACTACATTTGAGCTCCGGCCTGTTCTGAAGTACGGTATTCAGAGGAGTCCATGAAACAACATATGCAACAAAAAAGCAATTGTTTGGGATAATTTCGTTAGGCTATTGTTTTCCTTTACTTTGGCGGTAAATTGAAATTTTTGCGCTTGGTGCATTTTGGGTTCTAACTTTCAAAGGACAGTTTCTGAACATTGGGTACAAGTGTCCTGCAAAATGCAGTCCTGCTAGTGGCTTTCGGTGATCACAATTAAATACTGACTTCCCATTATGGACTCTAAATTAATGGAAGTACTCGTGCGCGTAGGAATCTGTGCAACTATATTTTCGCGAGAGCAAATATAGGATAAAAAATGCCGAAGTACGACTTAAACATTAAAGCAATTTTAAATAAATTTATCGCCTACTTTTACTCAAATTATTCCACTGTCACATTTGTACCTTAGGACTCCAGCCTGGCGATCAATTTTCCATGTGTAATCAAACGCTCCCATGGCGAGTTTAGCAAACCGATTTTCAAGAGAGTCGCATACGGCGAGGTTTTGCTAGTTTACTAGTTTAATATTTGTACCTGCAGCGCGACAGACCAGAAAATCGAATCGAAACTCAATGTCAGCGACCTAGAAGCGCTGCAAGAAGGCTTTTCCGTAGCTAATTATCTTCCTTTTCATCCGTAACAATTTAGTGCCCAGGAAAAGGATATGACAACAAACTTTCACTTACTAAAGAGCAATTTGTTGAAGCTCTAAGTCTTATTTTGAATCGTGGTACTCGACAGGAAGTTCGTGCATTCTTCTCAACTTTAACCTTACTCAGTACAGCGAGCTGTTCGACAAGATCGACATAACAAGCGATGGTGTTGTTGACTGGGACAAAATAGCATCGCACCTATTACTGGAGTTCAACGAACGAGATGAGCGAGTTAAAAAACTAAGTGTTCCTCAGTGGAAGGATTTGAAAACGCTTAAAAGGTGCACTAACCATCCATTTATACATAGATATCAGTCCCCACAAAGATTCCATACAAAAAATGATTTACATGAAACATATGTCGCGCTATCTTACGGTCGGAAAGGTGAGATCTTGACACTTCTGCATTGAAGGAACCACATTTCCGTTTTGTACACTTGCAAAAGGTAATCATAAGCTTTTCTTTTCACCACAAGGATGGAATAGTAACTATGTGGGGGATTGATATGAAACCTCAGTGTTCTGCAAAAGTCTCAACCGAAGCGTGTAGACCCCGAGACCTATGGGTAACGGACTTCGCGATAATGTCGAATATAAATAAAATGGCCGTGGCATTTACAAGCAAAGAAATAGGTTAGCTATATTTAATTTGGCGCACATCTTTAAAGCATTTTACTCTATCGGTATAAAGCTTGAGCTCGTTTGTCAAGTTAAACTCTGCGACATAATCGATACTCCCATATGTTTAAACTACTGGTAAGCTGCATTTCTGTTTGTCTTACTTCATTTCAGGCATAATCCAGATCATCCAAATGAATGCATTCTTTCCTGGGGTGACGTCGGTGGATATCTAAACGCTTTGTTTTGGTCACAAGCTTCAATTGGTCTCTTCGAGAAACCTTCAGCACTTGTTTATGAGAAAGAAGGTACTATTAACGCAACTGCAGTTAACTTATTTTGTCAGCACACGACGAACTACGGCGTGGTTTCACAGAAACGACCGTTAGCATTGCTGTACGTTAACTTAAGATTAATGTCCGGTTTTGTTGGCCTCACGACAGGTGACCCTCTTTTAGCTAGAATCCGGATAGCGTTTCAAAAGACAGAGGGCGTTGCAGAGAAACTGCAGAAGGATCCCTGTGTTCCCAATTACAAAAATCGATACAGTTAAACGACGCTAGAAATTACACACAAAATATACAGCACACGGGAGAGCTCTTAATTTTCAGTCGAAACGATTGCTAAACAAATGCGATGCTCGACTCAAATGATAAAAATCAACAACTAGTTTAACCATCTGCAACTGTAGCGTAAGTGTACAATGAACTATTAGTTTTAAATAGAACTCTACGCACGTGTTAATTATGACCCTTAGCCGATGAAGGGAACAGAATGCTCACGCTTATTAAGAAACCCCTGTAATACAAGCTTTCTGCGTTACATTGTCTAAAATAACCGGAAAGAAAAGCCAATGAAATAAGGAAAGTAAGGCAAGGTCATGGTCAACCAATCCTTTGCGTGCCTTTGTTCAGGAATCGATACTCCCTTGTGTACGTGACAACAGACAAACCGGGGAATATCTAGACTTAATGAAAATAACTAAATAAGCCGCCAGCTGCACGCTGTAACGGCGACCACCACCAGTCGAGCATGCGCTGAATATGTCGCGAGGATGCTCGCACCTACGCGGATTTGAACCGGTGATTTATGATTGCAAAGCAGACGCGCATACTACTCAGCCACCGACCGACTCATGCAGTTTGCTCTTTAAGTAATATTTTACATTTGTTTGTGGGGTCGGATCATACTAGCCAATTTGATAACGACCCTTAGTATGCTGAATTAGAAGACATTCACCTCAGTACCAATCTGTGTTTCCCTTAGTAACGTCAGACATTATAGCGCAATTAAGGCTGCCATTACTACGCACCCGTCGCAACGAGACTGGACCTTAACGTGGTGCGACGGTTTGCGTACCTCATTGACCCATTGAGCTATACTGGGTGATGCCTCCGAGTACCTTGAGAGCTACTCCTACCACGTTGGTCAATGGTGAGAGGTCAGACAAACTCAGTCTCCTGGTGCTCCAGGTTGGGGGTTTGAAATGGGATGGCGTCCATTTCTGTAAAACTAAAGCATTGCCACCTTCTCGCTGCCTTGCGGACAGGCTTTTGAGCCAAAGGCTTTAGATGACTCTAATCGTCCTCCTGTCTAGGTCTGGGCGCCCTGGCAGTATCTCAGCCCACATACAACCATGACATCTTCTTCAAACATAAACTTCATCCTGCATCGGCCGTCGCGCAGATTATCAAGGGTCGCCTTATCTGCTGCACACAGCAGGGCGGATAAGCGAAAACATGCTACTGCTGACTCCTTCCTTCTTTTTTTCCACCGTTTTCTCTTACTCCCATCCCGACTCCCTTTACTGACCTTCCTTCTATAGTTCTCAGCTTAATTGACAGCAACCGAAGTGCCACTGGAGTAGAACCATATGCAGCCACCATCCCACCGTACCTATCGGGCGCATATCGGCATAAGTCCCTCATAAGGTCACGGTGTCCCGTATCCATGGCGACATTCAACGTTCGCACTCTAAGACAAACAGGGCAACAGGCTGCACTCGCACGCACCTTGGACACACTGGGTATTGATGTGTGTTGTGTGTCCGAAACTAGGATCAATGACCCTAACGGGGTTATTGAATTAACTGCACCCGGCTTATTCTCTCGTTATTGGCTGCACGCATCCGGAGACGCCGATGCAGAACTCACGGATCAAACTGATGTAGGTATCATTCTAAGCTCCAAGGCTGAGTCATCGTTGGTTGATTGGATTCCGGTGAACAGCCGTTTATGTGCAGCCCGTTTGACGACATCAGCTAAGTTTGATTCACGAAGTAGTAAAACGCGCTGTTTATTTTGGATTTTCGCTTATGCGTCCACCGACTGCAGTTCAAGTGCTGTCAAGGACACATTCTATGAGGAACAGAACGCGCTACTACGCAGTGCTACTAGTTCAGATATTATAGTACTTGTAGGGAATATGAACGCACATGTATGGCGTCTGAGCTCTTCAAAAGCTCAGCTGGGTTTTAATTATGGGCTAAACTCCGAACGGGCTGACAACGGTGAGCGCCTGCTGCAACTGTGTGCGGAGCACCAGTTGTTTCTTAGTAGCACTGCTTTTAAACACAGGGGGCACCGAAGTGCCACTTGGCGTCCTCCTGTAGCTGGCCACTGACGGACCCAAATTGACCACCTCGCCATAAGTTACAGATGGTGTGTTTCCATTCTGGATTACAGCTCGTACTGGAGTATCTGTGTCGACTTTGATCATGCCTTGGTACGCTGCCGTTTCTACATGAACTTTAGCGAGAGGCGCACCAAGTGTCCCCTACGATTGACAACGGAGAAATTTTCTCACTCCTCGTTTAGGCAAGCCTATCAAGAAGCACTGCATACCGAACTTCTGCTGTGTTGTCCTAATGACACTGAGCTTCAGTGGAATAGAATCTCGGTCGCCATGCATGACGCTGGAGCATCTGATTGTGGCACTATTCACCGTCACCGCACCAGTCACTGGATATCCGGGAGGTCGGTGCACGTGTTGGAATCTAGAAGACACCTCCCGCCTGGCTCTGAACACAATGTGACCAGACGGGCTATTAGGCGTGAAATAAAGCGGAGCCTGGGTGATGACAAGGAAGCCTGGTGGACCAGTCGGGCTCAAGAAATGGAGGAGACAGGAGCAGTAGGCAATTACCGCAAGCTCTCCCAGTTGATCCGCACCACTGGTCCCAGAAAACCAGGCGTCAGTGATACAATCAGAGACAGCGCGGGTGCGCTGATACACAATAAGCAGCGCCGTATGGCTCGTTGGGCTGAGCACTTTGAACATCAGTTCAGCTGGCCCCCTGCTCCCGGACCTCTTCCTACTCAGGTGATGCAGGTCGAGCCATGGACGGTTAGTTTAGAGCCTCCGTCGGAGGCCGAGGTCCGAAACGCGATCACAGCCCTTAATCGTTTCCGTACCGCTGGCCCGGATTCCCTCCCACCTGCACTACTTAAAGATGGAGGTGAGGTCCTCTGCAAAACACTGACCTCTTTACTCGAATGTATCTGAAAGAAAGTGTCCCAGCTAACTGGAGCGAATCGATTATAGTGGCAATATACAAGAAGGGCGGTCGCACAGACTGTTCTAACCACAGGGGTATTAGCCTAACGCTAGTTGTGACAAAATTGCTGGCCTCGATTCTCGTTCGTCGTCTCACTACGGAACGGGGATCTCGGATTAGAGAATAGCAGGCCGGTTTCTGCACAGGACGTGGCTGTATAGACCATATATTCACTTTGCGGCAGGTGCTAGAGGTGCAATACGCATACGGCAGATCGACCATAGCTGTGTTCCTCGATTTCAAGAGTGCGTTCGATTCAGTCGATCGATCGATTCTGTTGGAAATACTTGCGCGGAAAGGTGTTCCCACGAAATATGTGAACTTCCTTCGTGCTCTATACTCCAACACTACAGGCCGCGTCAGGGTCTGTGGTGTCCTCTCGGATAGCTTTCCGACCACAAGTGGCGTTCGTCAGGGTTGTCCGATTTCCCCATTTTTGTTCAATTTCGTCGTGGATTCTATCATGGAGTGTTCCCTTACGGAATCTCATGATGTAGGCGTTGAAGTTCTGCCTTGTGAAAGATTAGTTGATCTAGATTATGCGGACGATATTCTCTTGCTTTTAGACGATGTTGGGGCGGCACAATCAACCCTGAATAGCCTGTCCAGGGGGATCCCATTATTTGGTATGCACTTCGCACCTTCGAAGTGCAAAGTGTTGCTGCAGGACCATCAGCCACTTGATGACCCCTTGACGCTTGCTAACGAGGAACTCGAGGTGGTTGATCAATTCACTTGTCTTGGCAGCTGCATCAGCAATGATGGGCGCATAGAAACTGACGTCAGCTCACGCATTGCAAAGGCCAGAGCTGCCTTCTTGAACCTGCGACATCTTTAGCGACAGAAGGGAGTTTCCCTTCGTCTGAAAGGCCGTGTATACAAGGCCACAGTGAGGGCCGTTCTGCTCTATGATATTGAGAATTGGCGCCTTTGGTCTGAGGATTTGAGGCGCTCTCAAGTCTTTGATCATCGTTGTCTGCGAAGCATTGCTGGTGTCGGATGGCACCAGCGTGTCCGCAACGATGATGTGCGTAGACGAGTACTAGGTAGTAGTAATCATGCCAGCACCCTAGAACAACCAATAGCACTGAATAAGTTGCGGTGACTCGGGCACCGCTACGTATGCCTGGTCACCGCTTACCTAGGAGGGCCTTGCTTAGTCTGCCAGATGTAGGGTGGCACAAGGCTCGAGGTGGACAGAAGTTGACTTGGCAGCGTGAAATGAAATCACTGACGACCAAACTGGGTACCGTTGGTCCGTCTCGCCTTTCGGGCTGGAGTCCACGTGATTCGCCTTGTGCTTGGCTCGAGAGTTTACAAGACATGGCTCGCAGTCGACACCAGTGGCGCGTCTGCTGCCGTCTCCTAATTGCATTGCCTGTTTAAAGTGTGTTTGATGCTGAGTTATCTGCGGGGTAATGGCTGATTATGACGCGTGGCGGTGAAAGCCGCAAGGGAGCTGTCTCGCCGATGCCGCCTTATCTTTGCACGATAGCCAGCTATTTGTGACGGTATGTTGTCTACACAAGGTGTAGGCGCCTTGACCCGGAATGTTTGCTTAGAGCATTAAGGTTTTCGGGTAAGTCTCCCTTCTCCCCCTCTTCTTATTCTTTATTTCATAGGTCCTCATGGTTGTATGGCAGCGAAGCATCAGTACAAATGGCTGATGTACTGCTGTTGATGATGATGATGAACACTACTCACGCAGATTGTACATTATTTGTGCTCACAATGCAGTCTGTATTTACATTT